TTTGTCCTCTTTCCCTGAAATACCAAACGAAGGAAAATATGAATTGTGTATCGTGTACTTTAGCTGATATGAACCACCTTTGAGATACTGTTAATTACATTTCATTGCAGATCTCTTAAAAATTGCCGTGTAAATTTTTCTGCTTTAATGGATGATCTATAATTTGGGTGGAGTACCCAAATATAATGAGGATTTTTTTACTTAGAAGAAAAGAATAGCTTTGTGAAAAATTGGAAACTAAGTTCCAATACGTATTTTTCCCTGCAGTAAAAAAGATGTAGTTTCTTAATTTCTGTTAAATGGATGCTTTTAGACTTGCTGCTACAAGCGACTAAGTAGACAGCGTAGATTAACTTTTGCAGGTCAGCTTAGCACAAAAGCAGTTACTGCAAGCTAGGTATAAACCAGCTTTACTTAACCATGTTTATTAATAAGAGCCATTTTTCTAGAACTAGTCTAAATCTGAGCTGATGGTTCTCAGAATAGCATTTATAATCATGTGATATGTATAACCTGGCACTTTCCAGTTCCCTTTTTAAGTGTGAGTGTTTTGCAGTCACTTCCTGTTCTGTGTAGCAGTGTGTGACTTTCTGTAGTTAGGAAACAATATGACTATCCCTCATTATTGTGAAACCTGGTTTAGCTTCATTGTTGAAGCCAAAATTAGTAGTAGACTACTGATCTAGTATCAGCTATAGTAATTTTTCTAATTATAGATTAATCTGTTTGGGGGTTATAGTGATTAGCGATGCTAGTTCTAACTCCCAGTATGTCTTCTTTCTGAATTGCCATCGTAGTCATTAAATCTATCAGTCCATGACCTGCCAAAAATCTTCTAGCTTTGCTAAAACCATTTTTGTTACAGTAGCCTCACCAGAGGCAGGATGCTATGGGAAATTGCTGGTGTAAAGATGGCTTTTGAGTGATTTTCAACCTTATTTATTTATTTGTATTGTGTTTATTTTGCATTTTTCCAGCCTCTGGGGAAGAATGGGGGACCTCGTATAAAGAATTGAAGGTCACAAACTGCAAGTTACTTTGTTTTGCTGTCGAACTTCTTAGGAGATTGTGGGCATCTAAGATTCTGCGGATGACAGTTTGAAAACTGAAGTTGTGGCATTCACATGGGCAATACTAATTTGTTTCTGTTTCCGACAGAAACAGAATAGATACAACACTAGTGAGAGGAAGTAGACTTGAAAGGTGGATTGGCCAAATTTTAATATAAAATTTTGGAATTATGTAGCAAGTGAGTAGTACTGTACAGCTCTGTTACTGAACTCTCTCCAGATGCTCTCAAAGAACAACTGGCGTCTGCAGTGATGGATTAGAAGGTCAGAATTCTGTAAGAGCAAATTTGAGGGTGGAAAACTGTTGCCATTGCTCTTTCTTTTGTATGCTACGGACAAGGGCCAGCTTCTTTGTTTTCATCCTTGCTATGTTGTGTGACTGCTCATATAGTTGGCTGGGATGAAGTTTGGGAGTTCTTGTTACATTTGTTGCTTGTGACTGTTGGTCGATTTCAGGAACAAATGAAAACTGCTAATGTCAGTAACTTTAAATAATCTTTTTCTTTTATGTGACTCAAATAGGAAGTCATAGCTTCGGGTCTGCCATGATGTGAAGAGGGATAGAGGGAAGATTATGACACACCGAAATGTTGGGGTTTAGGAAATACTTGAGATCATTAGCACATGATGTCAGAAATCAGATGTCACAGTGGAATGGTAGGCACCTAACAGTCAGTAGCTGTGGCAAAAATAAGAAACCCTAAGGTGGATAACCATTTCTTTGAAACTGACCTAGCTGTAGAGAGCAAGGAAATTACTTTGTGACAAAGCAAAGCAGCTAAACACAGGAACTATGGAGAAGCGATGATGCTTGTGTAGATTCCTGGCTCTTCACATAAAAATCAGGAGAATCTGATAGAATCTTAACGTTTGAGCTGTGTAATATTTTTTGTTTCAAGCTGTACGAACTGCTTTGATTAGTACTTGGATCATCTCCTAAGAAAGGTGTTGGTGTTGAGAAATCCAGGGGAGGGATAATTCAGCAAGTGATCATCTTTCTTCTAAGTCAGAAGAAGGTCTAAATATTAGCCTTAAGGACAGCTGTGCTGTGGAAGTTGCTATCCGTCAGATATTTTTAATGACTTTTCATCAGGTGGTGTAACTAAAGATCCAGTTACTCTTTCTTTCTTTGTTTTAGTTGCATTTAAAATTTTGTTCTAAGTTGTTAACCTTATATCCTAAATGAGTTTAGAGTGCAGAGTTACACAGCTGATGTGTCCTCTGCTGAAAGTGGCTGTAAATAACCTAATGATTACACCATTCCCATAACATAGTGTTCCAGGCCCTGAGGATTCTTTATCATGAAAACTGTGGTCGTAATTACATCCCCTCTGACATAATCAGTCTGATATAAGTGTTTTGTATAGAAACTTTCATTTTGAGAACTATTCCTTTACTATTTTGAATCCAGTGCTGTGTAGATCCCAGTTATAAAACTCAGAATGTCACTGTGCTTTTCTTTCTGCATTTGGATTAACTACATGTAAAGGACAGTTATCAGACATATCAAGGAAAACGCCTTTTAGACTGTAGAAAAATCGAGTGTTAAGTTAGATTTTCTTTTGCAAAAGTTATGTTAGCTGTCTTGAAAGTAGCAAGATTATTTTATTTCCTCTTTAGAGGCCCACCTGAATGCAGGCAGAAGTGTCATGTGGCCAATGACTGACAAAACAGCTGTGGCCAGAATGCTTCGAGTTGCTCATTTCCTTCATTTCTTTGTTGGTGGGGGCTTTTTGGTGGTTTGTTTGTTTTTGTGGGTGGGGTGGGATTTTTTCGTGGGTTTCTTTTTTAATTAAAATTTTCCCTATACTTTAAAAGAGGAAAATTTAGGGCAACTGGGATGCTCCTTGCATGGTACAGTAGGTCATTCTGTATTTTTATTGAAGTAGGAGCACTACTGGATTGTTCCTTGCTGTTCTTGGAGAATGATGTGCTATCCCATTTAGTAAGGAAGAAAGGTGTGAAAGGTTTGAAGAATGCAGAACAGTGAACTGGAGACTCGGGACTCGATATTATGCAGTGGGAGTTGATTTAAATAAATGACAGCTGTCCAGCACTGGTATATTCTCTGGAAAGCGTTTGAATCTGAGCTCATTTGCAAAAGAACACATTACCTAGAGCAAATAAATTGTGTGTATTAGATACTCGCTAATGTTCATTCAAGGCAGGGCACTTTTGAAACAGTTTTACTAGAGTGTTTTTGTTGAGTGATAGGAAGCCTTGCACTCCAGCCATGGCATTTCGCTGATATTGTTTACATTTTCCTGTTGCAAAGAGTTTGACTAAAATATCGTAAATCTAAGAAGGTGACCTTTTTCATACCTTTTAGGCATTACTACTGTTTTTAAGCTGTTTTGTTGTGATGAGGACAAAATGTTTTAAAATATACCTATTTTGACTTTCAGTGCAGGGATGTGGAACTCTTAGCCCACAGGACAGATTCGATCCAGGACCTGCACCATACTGGTGCCATTAACGTGCATCATTTTCCTGCTGCAGTTGCTGGTAGGATGTTAAGAATATAATGAAGCTGGTGGTGCTGGTACCACAAGGAGACTGCTGCTATGCTTGAGCACAGAGGAAAATGAACAGAGGGAGTGATAGATTTTTCTTTCTGCTTGGGTGATTGAAAATAATGCAGGCGTAAGGGGGGAAAGGAGAATTCCTGCAGTTTTGTGAAAAATACTTATCCTTGATAAAAATAAAACAATAAGATTCTAACATGGTTTTCTTTTTCTTGGTCCCTTATTAAAATGTAAAGTCTACTTATGAAGAGAATAAACCAATCTGTTTTGTGCTGTCACACAGTTCAGTAGCCAGCAGGGGAAAATTTTGCGTAGTCTGCTGTAAATGTAATATAGCTAATATTTGGGGCAGCTGATGGGATGTTTAAAGGAACTACAAGGATTATCTTTAACTCTACTGTGTTTTTGTTAAGACATCTTCATAGTTCTTCCCCTTTGGCAAGATATTCCACCAGGTAGTTCAGTGTGATTTTTGTTAAGTTATTAATGATTGTCAATAAAATGCCATAATGGCATTTCAGATGTGGCAGCAATGTGATTTTTAGTGCATTTATATAGTTTGATAAGGAAGCAGAAAATGGATTCTTTTAATTGTAAGTCTGTGATGTGTCTGTCTCTTGAGCATTCCATTCCTTTTTTGCCACTCTATTTCAAAAAGGATACTGGAGATGGGGAAGGAAATTTTAGGGAAGGGCCACAGACATGGTCAGTAGTTCCCATTCAAGGAATCATGAAACAGTCTACAACTTCCTATCTCTGAAAAGGCAGGTAGAAGGAAGATGTGGCAGTGGTTTGTGGAAATAATGGTCGGGGGAGAGAGGCAGAAGTGGACCAGGTATGGGATAAAGGTCAGCTGTCTTCTGTTGATTCCTGGAACTAGGTCAAATGAGTGAGGCTAGTACAGGGCAGGTTCAAAACAGACGAATGGAGATGGTTCTTCCCACTGTGTAATTAGCTGGGGAGCTCTTTGCCACAGGATATTACGGATTCTAAAAGCTGACTTGAGTTCAGAGGCAGGCTGGACAAGTTCATGGAGAGATCTGCTGCGTTTGTTAAGTAGATAGAAGCCGTCCTTGGTTCAAGAAGTTTCTCAGCAGCTAATGGTTGGAAGCTGGGATAATACTTGATAGAAGCATCATGCTGTGCTTGCCCTGTTCTTACCCTTATCAAAGTTTGCTTTCATCTTCCAGCTTTTCTTTGCATAGACGTGAGCAAGTTCATTTGTAAGAGGGAGGATGGGAAGTCATCTTCCTTGCAGAAAGTATGAGAACTGAGACTTTATGATGAAGAAATGGAAACATCATAAAATCATTAATGTGGAGCACAGTATTTATGATGTAATTGTTTGCTAATATCCTGCTGCCATTTGGGGTTTAGAAGGAATTCCTAGCTTGATACACTACTGCAGGTGATGACTGTCATGGTTTAACCCGCAGGCAGCTAAAACAACCACAGTGCCATTCACAACCACACAGCCGTTCGCTCACTCCCTCCCCACAGTGGGATGGGCAGGAGAATCAGGAGGGAAATAAAACTTCTGGGTTGAGATAAAGACAGTTTGATATGACAGAAAAGGAAAATAATAATAATAGAATATACAACACAAGTGATGCACAGCACAATTGCTCAACACTCACAGACCACCAATGCCCAGCTAATTCCTGAGCCATGATCTAAACCCCTGGCCAGCTTCCCCCATGTTATATACTAACTAAGGATGACGTCATATGGTATGGAATATCCCTTTGGCCAGTTGGGGTCAGCTGTCCTGGCTGTGTCCCCTCCCAGCTCCTTGTGCACCCCCAGCCTCCTCGCTGGCGGGGCAGTGCGAGAATCTGGAAAGTCCTTGCCTTGGTGTAAACATTGCCTAGCAACAACCAAAATATTGGTGTGTTATCAACAATATTCTCATCCTAAATCCAAAACCCAGCACTATACCCACTACTAGGAAGGAAATTAACTCTATCCCAGCCAAAACAAGTACACTGCTAAAATTAGGAAATGAGCACCAACTTGAACCTGGAAAGGTAGAATTTCTTGGATTTAGGCTCCAAGATTGCATTTGAGATGCTAACAGACCTACCAGAATGCCTATCGATGCTATTAACTATGCTATTAAGGCATCTGTAGGAATAGGTGCCTTAATGTTTCTTTTGTTAGACTTGGTTGAATGACACAGATGGATTTGTGTACCAGCGAGAAACTGGAAGCTGTACATCAGAGCTGACAAAAACTTATTTCAAGACATAGTTTGCTTTTCATATTGCAAACTAAACACAGATCTTTCGAAGATCTGGCAAATGAGGAAGGGAAACTTGCAATTAGAAGTCAAAAACACTGACTCAGCAAGACTGGTGCATGGACCTGGCTTGCTACTCACTGTTAATGGCCTTTCAGTCATAAAATAGTGACAACTATGTTGTTATGAATTCTCCTTCAGACTAGTTGATCTTTTTAATGTATTTCAAATTTTAACTTGCATAATTTCTCTTAACTCACATCTTATGAGTGATGCTGGGTTCCTGTGACTTAATTGCAAAACATGGGGTGACTTATGGTAGGTAGAATAAAGAGTGATGGTGAAAACTGTACAGGATAATTCTATAAGCCAGGGATGTCTTTACTTTCGCTGGAAAGATATTGTGAGCTTCAAGCAGAAAAACAGCACTGTGAACACTGCTGACTTAATAGAGAGATAAATGTTTACTGGGGCCTTGTGACATGTCACACAACCCAAATTTATTTATTTATTTATTTATGAAAGGTCAGAATAGCAAGCCTTCAATTTATGTTCCGATGAGAAGTATTAGGACTGTGTTAGAATTTAAATTTGTGCTTTAATTACCAAGTAGTCATCTGAGGCTTAGAAAATGGAATATGGTTAACTATTATGCGTATATAGTTGGAAGAAGCAATTCTTGCAATACTATTAATGCATGAATTTTTAGGTAGCTTAACTTTTTTTACTGAAAACAGTTATTTCAACTTCTGTGGACTATGGGGCATTAACCTGAGTGAGCTTTGTCCAAATGACCAAATGAGAGGCAGTGTAGTAGAACTAACAACAGCCTTTATGGGGAAGCTATGTATTGTATGGCTTTTTTATCCCTATGCTGAATTTCTGGAAGGTCACTGATATAATGGGGTAGCTCAGTAAGTTGTCATTTCATCAAATACCATGCAAAGCCCAAAACACTTAAATCATTTCAGTATGACTCTAAATTAAACCTAAACTCTTCAGTGCATTGAACTTGACTGAATTCTAATAAACAGGCTTCATTTTCTTCAGAAATTGAATGACTTGTTTTTAATATTTTCCAGGTCAAAGATCGGGGTCCAGAAGCCACACGAAGATTTTTTAATTGGTTTTATTGGAGCATTAATTTGGGAGCTATTCTCTCTCTGGGAGGCATTGCATACATTCAACAGAATGTGAGCTTCGTTATTGGATATAGTATCCCAACGGTTTGCATTGGGATTTCATTCATGGTTTTCTTATGTGGTCAGAGTTTCTTCATCACAAAACCGCCTGATGGTAGTGCCTTCACAGACATGTTTAAAATTCTTGCATATTCTTGTTGCTCAAGAAAGAGACATGTGGAACGTTCAACTAACAGGTTTGTAATGAGCTCTTTTGTATAATCTGAATTGAGTGAATCAGCCTAAGAGTTGGAAATAGTTAATTCAAACTAGCTGGCAATAAGTCACACTAGAGGATACGCTGGAATATGCAGTTTTGGTTTGAGAACTGGAACTGGAAAATGGGAGTCCTGGAGATATTTTCTGGGAGTTCTGGGATGAAATAGAGGCACATTTTGAGATCCCTGGATCTCCGTGCTGCAAGATCAAGTCTGCTGTTTTCAATTGAATGCTGTGTCTTGCCAGTTCAGAGTTTCTGAAAGTGTAATGTAACCCAAGTATGCTCCTTTTAAGCATTTATTAACTTCTCTGTGTAGATATGTTTATGGGATGCCTTCTGATTTGAAAAATACTATCATCTGCATTTAATGTTGTAAGCGTTTTGATGGGCAGCCAAAATGTGTACTGGCTTTTTGCTTTCCAAATGGTTACTCCACTCTTCAGTGATGCTTATGCAATACTGGTGGCTGAATTTAGTCACTGATAAGAGATGTCAGGTGCCTCCTCTGCAATGGGCTTTCATGTAGTCAGATTGCAAAACAATTCAATGAATTAGAATAACCTGTATTTTGTGGCATTGTTTCTTGAGTTCTGCATATTGCAGTGCCAGTTATTTATGCGTGGAAGGAGGAGTGGGAAATAAGGAAACCTTTACAATGGAAGTTTTCGGCTTGTGCTTTCACCTGCTCACGTTCCATTCTGGCCTAGTTGTTTTGCCGTAACTTACAGGAGTAACTTATTTTGAAAATGTATGAGCTTTTTATAATGAAATGTCACAATATTTCCAGTTATGTCAGGTTTTGTTGTTGTTTAACTAAATGTTTCAAATTCTTTTCAAAAGTGAAGGCCAGGGAGTACTTCAGCAACCTCGCAAGCAAAGCCTGTTTGAGATGGCCAAGCTGTCTCATGGGGGCCCATTCAGAGAAGATAAAGTAGAAGATGTGAAAGCTCTTGTCAAGATTATCCCCGTCTTTTTGGCTTTAATACCTTACTGGACAGTGTATTTTCAAGTGAGTAGTTCCAAATGGTTACATTTTTATTTTATATCTCTAAAAACTGTAATTTGTAATTTAAGGGCCATAACTTCCTCTTTTCCCAGTTGCATTTGAGAGGTCTTGGGGCACTAGCATTAAGTTGTAGTTCTGTACCCATGTTATAAATCTAGCTCCCGTCCGAAAATTATCCCCCAGAGCAGTTACCTGGAGGAAACACACAAAAGCTTTTGGGGGAAAACTGTTCTATAAGGTTTACTTACAGTTAGTGTTCAGTAGCTGTGATTCTAAAGAAGGTGAATATTGAAGAGGTTTTTTCAGAACCTTGGTATTGACAGTTTGACTTGTTTAATACTCATGTGTTCAGTAATGTTAACTACTTGTCTTTCACACACCTGGGGTTGCCTCTCAGGAATCATTTTAATAATATTATGTTAGCAAAAATAATACTGCGTGATGGTAGTTTGTTCTGAATTTTTTTATTTGCTAGATAAAACTGTTGTGGGAAGCTGTATTAGCTTACCAGTATGCCAAAGTATCTAATTTCACATTTTTCTTGGGGTCTTTCATAAATATGAAACTTACCCTGAAGTTGAGAGATGAAAAATGGCCACTAAGAAATATTTTGACTTAATAATAAAAAAGCAAATAAAATCATTAAAATGATAGTTAAAACTAACAGTTGTACAAATTAACATATATTAAATATTGCACTGTGTTGCAACTTGGAGTTGATTCAGATAGGTCAGGGTAAGTGGTCTGGATTTCGTTTTAATTCCTTTCTGGTTCTTCTGCCTTAGTGAAATGAATTAGGATAGCAAATATGTTTTCGGGGAAAAATACACAGAAATTGTTTTTAAAGTAACATGAATGATTCTTTGTGCATTTAGTAAAAATAAATGTAAAGGTTAAAAAAGTCTTGCAATGTTCTAACAATAATTCTTTTTGTTTTGCTATATTAGCACTTTACCTCTGGTGTATAGTCTTTGTTAATTATTAAAAATATCTTACTCTCAGTACTCCTCCAAGTAATCTCAACTCATCTTTCCTAATGCTAGATGCAGACAACATATGTATTGCAAAGTCTCCATCTGAAAATTCCTGAAATATCAAATGACACCAACTCTATTCATACGGTAAGCAGAGCAAAACAAGTGAAAAGTATGTTTTCTTTAGCTGAAATGCAAAATAGGTAAGCATTGTACAGAAACTCCAGGAAGCTCAGGTAGTGACTGAGGAGAATCCAATGGACATTGGGCATTTAGAAGCATGACGCATAATACAGAGATTTTGGCATACCTACCAGTATATGGAGTTCACACCATCCTGTTTTGAATGTATTCAGATCACTTTCACTGCTTTAATTAAGAGTGTCTTTATCCTTCAGTGGACAAAGTATGATCTTTGCAGAAAGCTTATAAATCTATATGCCCTAAGTTTTCAAAGTTGTAAGTTGTACAGAAGCATTCCTACAAACTCCATAGGAGTACCCATACTTAACTGAAACATTACTATTTACAAATTTGGAATCTGAGATACATTTGTAACTTTATACTGCTTAATCAATATTCACTGTACCTTGAATCAGTTTAGCATATCGAAGGAAGTTGTTCAATCAATATTTTTCAAGAAAGGCTGGCATCACGTAATTGCAGAAACAGTACTGAGAATAAAAACAAAAGGGATGAATGTAAGTTATTAACAGGCTTACTAAATGTTCTTTTGAAATTAAGTTTCTTCTGATTTATTTAAAATTTATATCAATAAGACAGAATAGCTTCAGTCTTCTTTTTGCAGATCAAAAATAAAAAATGTTTGTACTTAAATTTTTTTTTTAACTTGCTCGAAAACTGAGCTGCTTCTGAATCACAGCTGAAGGCTTAATGGAAGTTAGTGATACAGGCTAAGACAGACTTTTAAACCAACCAAATGCTAGTTACTTACTTTTACACAGTTAAAAAAACTAAAGAAAGAGTAGTCTGAGACTTTTTCAGTTAAAGCATGCATCAGCAAAAATATCTAAAGCAGATTTCCTCAATCAAGTTCTCAGTTTGTGTATTTTTTTGCATAGCTTTTGGGCACAGAAAGCCATTGCCACTTTCACTTCAAGGTTCAGTTTTATGGTGTTTGAGTTGCAATGTTTATTTAATAATAAGATACTTTCTTACTTAAAAATTGTAATTAGTCTGAAGCTTCTGGTTTAGTTGCATCAATTTTAATTGTGGACTACATTCGAGGTGTGGGGTTTTTTTTAGCATATACAGGTTAGTAAATTTACATTTTGATATGTAACCCATTTTGCTCTTTTCATTGAGCTTTTCACATTTCTTTATTGCTCGTGTATGAGAGGGGGCTCTTAGGTTTTTTTCTGTTATTACGAACCATGTGACTGTCTTGTTAGAGCATTGTCATTGCTGGACTAGAGATGTGGATTTTCTTTCTTCTAACAGAGTGCACACAGGAGTTCAGAGTCCCATTGTCAGTCTGAATATTTATTGTGTAGAAATGAACACAGAGCTTTGGTTGTCAGACTGAACTTTCCTTTTTGGAAATGCCTTTTTGGGCGTTAGAATTGTTTTCAAGTTGTAAATAGAGCATTATGTTTAATGAAATTAGTTAAAAAAAATAATGGCTTTCATTGGTTTTGCTGAAAAGCCTTTAAAATACCACTCATGCCATGTAGCTACTTTTTTTCTGACTTAAAAGTGTGGCTTTAAAAGATCTGTTTTTACTTAAAAGTGGGTTTATTTAAAGTATGCAGAATTTGAGGCAAGGATAATGGAACAATAATCCTAGTCTGTCATGATACTTGTAAATGATTTTTCTATCTTGCATAACAGTGACTGGCTCCTTTTTCTGCAGTGCATCAGTTGTGTTGTTCTTGTTTTATTTTAAAATACTTTGCTGTGATCTAACAGCATAAGTCAAATAAGTTAATTTGATTTTTGCTGTCTTCCTTGGTATATGGTAGATTGCAGGTGAGCATCCTTCAGGTAGACATTATGTAGGTAGCATCTTTGAAAGTGATTCTGACTGGTTTGGTTTCTCCAAATGGAAGTGATTTGAGGTAATTAAGAAAAAGAGCAGTAATATAATGTTTTAAGTGAGCAGCATTGTACCTTACCAGGTCTAGGTTTTCCTTAAGCTCTTTCAGGCACCTCTGACCAATACTAATAAAGCCATACTACTTCTTGATATGAAGAGTGAAATACGCATATGCCCTTTTAATTTGCAAGCTCCTCATAGAGTAGAAAATGAAAGAGCATACATTTTAAACAAAAAAACCCCCAAACCCAAGTGATTGTTTGTATGAAATACAGCAGTGCCAGGGACATTTGGTATTTCTCTCCTTTCTTACCAGATTCAGCAATGACAAAAAATTCCTACATCTTTGACTCTAATTACACAAATCAGTCCTTGTACAAACTGTTACACAGGTTAATGCTGATGTGATATTTGAAGCAAACGAAAAAGTGAATGGGAGAGGGAGGGAAATTGACAGTTTTAAAGTTTTGCTAAATATTTCAAAATAAGCAAGAATTTGACTAACTCATCAGAATTCACTGTGCATTTTTCAAAGAACGTGAAGATTGCTAAACAATGTATGTAACCTTATGTATCAAAAATACTGAATATGTTTGTATAGCCAAACCAGCTTATTATTCCATTTTCAAATCCATGAAATGCCTGCGAAATGTTAGGGAGAGGGTAGGAAAACATTGAGGAGAGGTTACGATTAATTCACTTTTACCATCATCATCATCACTTCTTGGGGTTAGCAGACTAGGAACGAGAAAGCATCTGCCTGGTTTCTTTGGAGAACTGCAATGACAACTGTAATGCAGAGCAAGAAAGCAATAGTATTTCTAATGACTGTTGTTACAACATGTCTGCATGCAGAGGGTGCTAAAAATGTGCCACATACATATGCTAATACTAGTTGGAGATTTTGACAAAGCCGAATTTGGACACGGCTTGATGTCAGTCAGAGACTTGGTGCTCTTGGTGCAAACTCCTGTGAAAATGCCAATCCTGCTTAGATTATGAAGAACCAAAGGTTCACCTTTTGCTAACTCTTATCTTTGCAGTTTGTCATCATCTCAGCCATACTGGAGTGATTACAACTGATCAAAGAAATAGGGTTCTCATCTGCAATGAGATGCATGCCCACACTGTGTCAGAGGCTGAGAGCTTGGGTTTTTGAGATACTTGCTGTGGTTGATATTTGTAGCCTTAAGGGAATCTGGTTGTCTTCCTCTGTTACTGTGTCTGTAGCTTTAGATTGTCACAGGCCCCTTGGTCATCCTGGAAAATCACTAGAAAAATATTCATCTAGTCTAACCTTGAGTTTCCACACACACAGAAACAGTTTAGTATCGAAAACTGAATCTGCATCAGAAACACAGAGATGAAGCAGTGCTTGTATTTTGGGTCAAAGAGTCAGTGCAATGCATAGTACAGTATCACACTGTTCTAAATGCAGTTTTAAAAAATATCCCCAAACCAGAAAATTTTTATAAATCTTCCTGTACTGTCTTGGCTTGTTTGCTCAGAAGAAATGCTAAATATTAGTAAGCTTCATAGAAATTGTCTCATTCATACAGACGGGAATCTTATTGTCAATTATTGAATGTTGCAAATGAGAAAGGATGTATTGCACCATACTCTTTGTTCACTTGACAAGTGTAATTTAATTTTAATTGAATTTTGTATTACATTAGTAAAACTGTTTCTACTCTTCTGTGGCATATTTCTGCAAGTTCGAAGCCTAATAATAGAAGATCTACAGAACCTGGCTATTAAATACTTTACATAACTGAAATAGAAAAAAAAGTTTAATTCTGTCAGACTACAGTATATTACTGGAAGCAAAATAGTAGAGACTATTTAATTGCATTAAATCACTTCCTGACTTGTGTGCCATTAATATTGACTTTGAATGCTTTTAAAAGTGTATCTTGAGGTGTATTCATTTAAATAATCTGCACAATTTTGTTTACTAGATTAGAGGGGGACAATCATTCCTCAGACAGGTGTCCTATGACTAAAAAAATCTTAACGGCAGAACAGCTCCCAAAGGATAGTGATTTTTTTTCCATTAAACATATTTCAGGATGTATGCAGAAAAACTCAAAGGTTGCGATAATGCTAATAGCCATTTCAGCTTTCAAAAGGAATTAATGTAGTTTTAGTTAGTTAACTTTGTTTTTAACAAAAAGTAATTAAAATAAAAAATCCTTTGCGAAACATCTTTGCCGAGTTCTACATTTTGTTTTCTTAGAGCATTCTCTTCATCTGCCCAGCAATTTTCTTAATCCTCATTTTCCTTGGAACTATGTGCAGTAGTATTTGCTTTTGTGAAAAGAACCTTTTTGCTCTGAACACCTGATGTTGTTCAGTCCCAGTGGAAAACTCCTACACCCCTGCCTCCCCCCCAAAAATAACCCCAAACAAACCCAACACCCACCTTAGCACAGCTTGAGAAGCATCTTGAAAGTGAGAATATGCAATACTGTTGGAGTTACTATGGTGAGGAATCATTTGTGCTTCTGAGCTAACAGAATTATGAACTGCCAAATTAAATAAAAACCCGAATAGCTGAGTGTTTTCCTCAGCTTTTACACACTCTTATTTTTCTTTTCACGGTGTCTCTCAGTGCAGTGTGGTTTATTTTGGATCTCTAGGTTCCGTCAAAAACATTTTTTTGTTTGTAAAATAATAGTAAAAATCAACCCTTAAGTATGAAATTGCTAACTTAAGTGATCTATCCTTTCAGTTTCCAGCAGCCTGGTTGACTATGTTTGATGCAGTGCTTATTCTGATCCTAATACCCTTAAAAGATAAATTGGTGGACCCCATCTTAAAGAGGAATGGCTTGCTCCCATCCTCACTGAAGAGGATTGCAGTTGGAATGTTCTTTGTAATGTGTTCTGCATTTGCTGCAGGTAAGAAAACAACTTTGAAATCTACTAACATAGTCTTTATTCAGCTACTTGCACAAGCATTTTTAAAAAACCTTTGTGAATCTTTAATTCAAGATTATTCAGAAGTCTTTTTCACGGGATAGTTAGAATGCAACTGCATGGATGCATTTCCCGCGATGAAAGAGATTTTATTCAAAAACATACTAAACTGTTTGAACATTTGCAGTAAAATTTGACTGTTTCCTGCTCCTGAAATAGACTTCAAGTATACCTTTTAAAACCAACTTGTTAAAATTTTCACATACAGAGTTATTTTCTAGTATGCTTGGTAGAGGAGAACTGTTTGTTTTCTGACCATATTTTCTCAACAAATGCCTTAGCTTCATGATCAGTGTTTAGGTTGCCTGAACAAAGTGTCCAGCATTTGGGTATAAGGCTGTTAGTCCTCCTAAAATAAACTTCATGGTATTGTGGAAGACCATGTTGTCAGATTTATTAACAATTTATCTTGAAGTTGAATATCCTGAAAAACAAATCAGTTCGGAAATAAGTATGTTCCTTCATGTAGTCTGACTTCCGAGTATTAAAAAAGTGAAATTTTACCTAAAATCCTTTCCCTTTATCTGAAATAATAAAGTCAGGTTATGGCTGAACAAGAGGTTCCTCCTGCTTTGGGTTTTTTTTCTCTCCTACCTTAATGTTCCCTAATGTTTGGGAATTACTGTAGTGTAAAATAGCTTAGCTATAGCACGAAAGGAAAAAGATGGCAACTCTGTTCATACCATAAATCAGCTGCTTTTGAGATGATTTAAAGTTGTTAAGCACTGCTGATGTGGAACTGAACATCTCTGAGCAATGCTTCATAGAACCCATAGCCGTCACCTACTATCACTGTAATGAACATATTGATAAAGCATTATAGCATTAAATAAATTAATTTCAGCACTTGTAATCTCCTATATTTTAGAGAGAGGGACACTTTATATGGCTATTAAGATTTCTCTCAGTGAGAGAGATAATTACCTTATTAGGCCAAGGTCACTTTGTATGTGGGCAAGTAAAGTTCTTAAAGTCTTTTAAACTTAAACTAGGAATGTTTCTCTTATTCCATGTTACTTAGGACACTGCTACCAGCAAAAGAAGATGATGTAAAACTGTTAAATGTCAGCTCTTTAAATAGAACCTGCTGGCTCACATATAAGTGAATGCAAAACCAGCAATATGTGTCTTTATTGGTACTGGGGAAAAAAGCAGATCGAGCTATGATAGCTGAGTTGAGGAATGGTTTCATTTAGCAGAATTCTTAAAAATTTCAAATGCCTTTTTTTAATTATTTTTTCTATTCACCTACAAATGTAACACATGATTTTCTTGGTTTGATCCTCCCCTAACTCTTCCACAGTAGAAACTGAGAAGGTGAACTCTTTGGGTGGTTATCTGCAATCTGGTTGAAAAGTTTAACCTTTTGGAGTAACTTAACATCCCTTCTTCATAACATAAATTTAAGAGCTTCGGTTATGACAAATTTGGGGCATAGGCAATTCTATTTATTTCTAGTAGGGTGGAAAGCTTCTGTTGGTTTATATGTTTCATAAAATTTTTATTTTCTCATTAAATGATACTTATAGAAGCCATATTTTAATATTCTTAAAATACAACATTACTTCCAACCATTTCTGCCTTAGAGAGAGATACTGATTAAAATCTTAAACATATTAAGATGTTAATATCTTAACTTGCAATCTTAGAAGTATCTTAATGATTTGTTTGTGCCATATTTCTATTTTAATTTATCTAACTGGCATTAGTTGTGGACAGTACTTAGGCTGCCTATTAGATTGCTTAGATTATTTTAAATATCTTATAAACTGGGTGAGAATACAACTGATTAGATTTAATGAACATCTGCTGTGCTTTATGCATTTTATCGTAAATTCTGAGCAGCAGTATTTAAGGTTATTCAACTGGAAAATCTACTTCATTTATAGAGTTTAAACAATTATAGCAAGAACTTCAGATTCTTTTAACTACTCAAACTGTAGGATTAAACTTGAAGCTTGTCTATCAAAGTCCAAGGAAGAATCAATAAATTCTAGATTCTGAAGTACTCGGCTTTGAAGCTCAATTTATGGCAACGTTTGGTATATTGTAGTTATGCTTCTATGTGGCTAAATGCCTCCTCAATCTGCTTATGTTGCGAAGGGTATCAAACACATTAAGGATCACTAGATGTTTTGAGATGAAATAATTTTGTGTTGAATATATATATGAATGAAATTGTGTCTGAGTTCTTAGCTGACTGTACTGCTTTGTCTACGTTTTAAGTTCCACTCTAAAAAGTTTGTCAGCTGTATTAAAACCAAAACATCAAGAAATCCAGCTTTATTTTAATTACATCAGCTCTTCATAGTTCAGAGGACACTGAGGTGGCTGAAGAGCTAAAGAATAATACATAAAAATAAGGTGGATAAGTGGTCACCTAAAAAGAAGTGAGGAAGGTAGAGAAAATGTGATGGCCTGACACTAAGAGGTACTAAGCTCAGAACAGTCTTTCCCTCAAAAACAGATGTTAAGGACACCACTGTTTTTAAGAAACATTTTGGGGCTTCAAGGTTTTCCCTCTACAACTCTTGTGTCTCAGAAGATTAGACTGTAGAGCTGTTGCAAGATTCGTACTTGAATAGATTCTGAACTGCTACGAATGAATAAACAAGGGTTATACAAATGCAGCTTTCCATCCTTTTCAGAATGCTTTGTAAGTCACTTGCTAATGTGTGCTCCCTCAGTTTGATTTTCAGAGCTCTGGCTCTAACTCCCTGCAATGATGAAATACAATATTGTCCTTAAGCATGTGATTTCTAGAACTTCTTGTTTAGTTACAGCCTCACCTACAGACTATGTATAGGGACTACAGGGAGCTTTCCTCATGCTTTCTTCCCAGCTTGGGTCTCTTGCCATACCCAGGACTAATAAGAAACTCCATGTCGTGGTATGAGGTCGTTTTGGTGAACACCAGGCGTTTCCCTGGGATCACTGTCACTTAGCAGAGAGCTAGAGAGATGGTGATCTGGTTGGCCCCCTCAAGGTTTGTATGTCACAGATTTGGGAAGAACCAGGAGAACAGATATTATATTGTGCATTAGAAATTGCTTGTGCTTGTTTATATGAAAAGTGCTGTCAATAGCTTCAGTCAAGATCATATTAAATCCCCGTGTCATCCTTTGGCTGCCTCTAGGAAAGAAAAAGCTAGAAGTGAGGAAGCAGATGTAATCATTTGTAGATGGTATAATATCCATGACAGCATCATGTCTGTCATCTAAACCTTGTACAGTTTTTTTGTGTAACAGGAGTGATATTTTGTGCCCCAAGATTAGGTCAGATCTTGGCTTAATAAGTAGAAAGAGAACAAAACTGACAGGCACTAAATGGGTGGCCATGTGTGTGTAACACGTATTAGGAAGTAGTGTCATTGACTCAGCCTTGCTGCTCTGAATTGGTCATGAATAAATCCACCTTATTTTCAAGGATATTGAGAGTTCTTTTATAGCGGTCCTTTCTGGGTGAAGTAGGGAGTTTTATTAACTATTAGCTATTCTTTGCATTTTATGTAACGGTGAGGCCAATCCTTTAATCTGGGCAACTTCAAAAAAAACCCTACAGCATTATTTGATATTCACTTTCTACTCTAAACTGTTGTGTTGAGCAAGCTAAAAATTGTTATATTTTACGCTATCATGTCTATTTTTCATTCTACATGAAGTGCTTTCTATGCAGTGTACTGGTTGTAAATCAAGCTCTAACGAGCTTTTGGATCTCTTGGGATGATAAGTGTCATATAAATGTCATGATGATATTCATGGAGGGTTTTCATAGTTCTACAGGACTAATGTAGCCATTTCGATAAGCAAAATGGTTTCTAATTTATTTGTACTATAGTGGCAGATGCAATTGTTCAACATTGTGAAGTAGTAGTTTGTCAAAACAAGATTGTTTTTTAAAAAAAAACCAACATAGTTTGTACAAGAAAGCTGTCAGCTAATCCGTCTGGAAAAGGGTTAAGTATTTGTATAATTATTGCTACTGAATAAGAATATAATCACTAATTCTATGACAGAAGAACTGTGTCTTGAAATAACAATTACAAAAGCAGTCTGAAATGCTTTCTGTTAGGAAATACATATTCCTCTTCTATAATTTGTAATTGCAATATAGGACTGAATTCTAATTTAATTTTTAATATGAAGAAACAGTGTTTTCATCTTAGGTTAATGTTTTTTTCCCCCCCTCCACGTAGGAATTCTGGAAAGCAACAGACTGAAAATTGTAAAGGTTAAAACAATTAATCAGACAATTGGAAATGTTACATACCATGCTGCAGATTTGCCAATATGGTGGCAGATTCCTCAATATGTGCTGATTGGATTCAGTGAAATATTTGCAAGTATAGCAGGTAAGAGTCTGTGTGTGTTCTAAATCTGCTTTCATATCTATCATAAATGATGGATTCTTAGAAAAGAAATATTTACTTCTCAAATCATTACAAATAAGCTTTAATGTTCCCCAATACAATACTATACAACATCACTTAATGTACATGACAAAGCATGAAATTTTCTTTCACGTTTGAAAATTGGCTATATATGTTTTCAAGACTGAATTTCAAGCAGAGCAACATTTAAATATTTGCATGTCATCCAGTTAGCATTGGATATTTGCAAACCGTAATGGAAAACAATATACTCTTTCAATATTGTTTTTTAAGGAATAGTTTTAATGCAGTATTGTTTCCTCTGAATCTTCCTCTGTGTTGCAAATAGAATTTGTGCTGTGTAATTTTTTTTGGCTTAAAAACTGAGCTCACTGTTTAGAAAGTCAATTACTAAGTGGAAACACCTTTCTGAGGGAAAAAGGAAGCAATAAACTATCTTTAGAAAGATTTATCACCTGTTTAAATTCACATTACTTGAGTTTTTACATCTCTGAAATAAGAAAAGTTATGTGACACTCAATCTAAACTATTTTTTTTGTGAATATTAATATTGAAGTTGCTATTTTTTATACAATTTTATCTGCTTTATTTGTAGATCAGCTTTTCTATAGTTGTTTTAGTACTTCTATGTGATACTAAGCAAACTGAAACATTGTTCAAATCTTGCCTTTCTTGAACAAATGCAAGAGATCTTAAATTTCTTAATACTGTTCTGTGTGATGTAGTGGACAGCTGTGTCATCATACTGATTTTTAAGCTGAAAGTGAAGTGGGAGGAGAGAGTGAATAGGACTATAAAGTCTTAATTTCTGGTCTGTTTCATACACGTGCAGGGCTCATTAGCAAGAGGAAAGCACAGGCAATTTATCTGTTGTCATTGTGGTATGCCTAACACTGGTTTACTACAATTAAACAAGTGAAATGCTATTGTGAATTTCTTAGCACAGTGTTCACATATCTAGTGCTTGGGAGCAATGCTTAGTTACCAGTAGGAGAAACCTTGCATGATTGTCGAAGTAGCTATTCTGATACTACTTAGATAGAATTGCAGAGCTACCTGATGTAATATATTGGAACTCCTCCAGAGACTTGATTTAAAAATCATTTAGTATTTGCTTAACTATAGTTACTTATCAACGTGTTGAAATACTGTTTCAGAATATTGAACTTTGAAGATCATCCATTCAAACTGGTATTACATATCGCTCTTTTTCTTCGATTTCTTATGACAGAATTTCCTGGTTTCATTTCCCCTGTAGGAAGTTACTTTCATTCCTCACGCTGGGCAAGCACAGTGGGTTAAAATGAGATTCTCTAATTCAGTAAGATCCTGCTGGCCGTAGCCCCAGCTGTCATATGGCCCATTTGTTCCCCTCTTAGTGGAACAGAGAATTTATACTCCATCGGGTTTCTAGTTACATGTGTTCTACTGTCATCGCAGTTGTTCAGAAATAAAACAAGGTGGTTGGATTGCTTGGCAAGTAGAAGAAAATGTGGGGTTTGGTTTTTTGTTTTTGTTTTTGTTTTTTCTTTTCTATCTGCTGATGTGCTCTCAGTTTTTCTTCCAGCTGTCTGGGATTCTATGTGACTGGAAGAATTAAACACATGCATCAGTCTGCCTTAGTTATTTAGTATGTTGGAGGAATTCTTTTTAGATATGGCTTTGTCCTGGATGTGTTCAAATGCATCAGTAGTGTACTCTTTCCTTCCTGGTGAACGATAGGTTGATGTCTCACACCAGGTTGTTGTTGGGAGTGTCCCATTTGCAATGTGAATGCAGGGTCTTAAAACAGTTAGCTCTATGCATGCATGCAGCATGTACCTGAAAACCAGCACCCAGCGCAAACTCTTGTGACGGTAAACACAAGATTTGGACATAAGGTCTGCTGGACTGCACCAGCTGAAATCCCCCGTGATGTATAGGCAAGTCCTTGAATTAATTTGCTTCAATAAACAGCTAGTAAGATGTGGGGAGAGTTCATTATCTTTAAAGCACACTAAGAGCCAAGATGCTAAACACTTTAGATCCTTAAATGGGAAGTATGCTTTAGCAGTGCAATCGGTATGTATCTTTTGCTAGAGGACATTATCTGCATAGTCATTGCTGTCCTATATTACAGTACATTTCATTATATGAAATCCTAACACATAAAAATCTGAAGATGGAAGTCTTGCTTAATCAAGTTACTTATTAAAACACTAAGGCTGTATTTTAGCATTTTTATCAAAAGAGTAAAATGAGTTAGTTACCTTTAGTTACAACTTTAGGGAGTTAAATCTGAACTCAGATGAACAGATGACTTATCAGAAATGCAAGTGTTCATGCAAAAATACACAAATTTCTTCCCTCTTACACATTCTTGTTTCTGTCAGGCGTTGTTAATAGTTTATAGGTGTTCGCAAGGATAAAATAACACACCTATCTGCAGGTTGTGGTAAGGTCGAGGACTTGATGCATTCTCTATTTGTTGAACTCCAAACCAAGGGTTGGTTTTTTCAACTGCTTTAGTGGACTTCTTCATGACAAGTCAAGTCTTTAAGGCTTATGTTATTCTTCCATGAATACTCTGCTGTTCTGCACTTGCTGGGTCTGTACCAACAGCTTTATAACTTCAAAAACTGTTGGTCAATGTTAGGTAAAATGCAAATACTTCTCTTTCTTTGAACCAGAAATTCTATGCAGATCTTAATTGCTTTGTGTGTTACACTTTCATTTGATTTGTTTTACAAAGCTTTCTTCCCTGCCTTCTGATTGCTATCTAAACTGAATTCTTAGTATCTTTAAGAAGGCCTCTCAAGACTGAATAGAGTATGCTTTACCAATTTGATATTAAAAGTTGATAAAGGCATCTATTGTGCCATGAAATTCAGCTTTAAAATATGCAAAGTTTTAATGGTTACACAACTATAGTGATTTGGAAATGTTTATTGTGAACAAAAAGGGACTAAATATCATAAAGGCAGAAACATACGTTTGTTTGTTTACTGCAAAACTAAGCATATTCTTATTAAGCCACATTAGTTACACTTGAGGTACCTTTAAAAAGATGACACACATTGCATTAATCTTTTGTATTATTCTGTCAATCCTCTTAAAGCACCCTTATTTAACTGGGAATCGTAATCTCACATGACAACACCAACTAGAGGGTTTAATTTCAAAACTGCTTGTTTGAGGTAGCATGAAATCGTTATCAATGGCTGCCAGCAGGCAAAAATATCTCTGAAGGCAAAGAAAAGATTTTATATTCTTTATACCAGATTAAATATTAGAGTTGCTGGAAACATTATTCAAGTTTAGAAACATGCCTTATTTTGTTGCAAAAAGTGCATAGTGTTACGCCCATTTTGATTTTTGTTTTGAGTCTTAAGATCTTTTTTTCCAGCAGTAACATTTGCAGAGAAGAAATGGGCCAGATCCTTTCATGTTATATACTTGTACAGAATATACAAAAGCCTGGTGACCAAAATGTGACCGATACTCTGGAGATTAACTTAACAAGAGGTTAACAAACCAAGCTACTGTATCCTGAGAGTAGTCTACTTTTTTTTTCTTTAAGTGAGATTGGCCAGATAAATACTCCTTGAAATATCTGAATTGTTATACTTGTGGCAAAGCCTAGGGGAAAAAAAAAAAAAGAGTTTTTAATTCTCAGAATAAATATAATTTTGCCCCCCTCCTTCCCCATTGCAGATGTCTCTCAATCTCTGTAGTGATTCTCTTGTTACGGTTTGAATTTACAGGAACCCGCACAGCTGAGTTGCACAAATAACGTTTCAGTTCCTTTCTAGAATCAGAGACAGGTTGCTGTTGGCCCATTCTAACATGTCATGCAAAGGAAAAGAGAAGCAGTGTATTGGTTATCAGAGATTTCTCAGGTGGCAATGCAGAATGCTGTTAGATCAGTGAGAACATACAGTTCTGTTTTTTTACAAGAACAAAGTTCCTCCCTCAGAACAGGCAAATGGATCTATCTGGCTTGAAGCATTAAGCCTTTTCTTGAAAAGAAATGCCAGTGTATTTCTATTAAACTAGAGTACAAAAGTCAAATACCAGTAATGGTGTAAATAAAGTATACCTTTATTACGCAAGACGTAAGTTTTGTGCCATTTTCAGGTCTATAATGCTGTCTTTGCCAAGAAAAATGTTAGATGAAGTAGCATTAATTTTCAGTATGAAGCAGACTGTTTTGAAACAAGCATTGCACCTGTCAGAGAAAAAGCTCTGCAAAGAATGTATTTGAATGTCTCCTGTGAATAATACCATTTGATTTTTGACAGGAGTAGTATTCTAAAAAGGAAAGTTAATCATGGGCATTAGTCTTTGCAAGGCAGAGCCTAACCCAGTGTGTTCTGTTGGTACTCAAATTCAGTAGCACAGATTTTTCAAATTGATGTCACCGATATGTTGCTCTTGGGTTTATTGGTTGAAATTTGAGTAAGGATAGTTTAAAGTTGAAGTCCCATTTCCACAAGTCTTAAAAAGAATAGGCTAACAAGCAATGAGCTCAGAGAATTCTAGATCAAAATTAAAACTAATTACAGCCTTTCCAGCTACAATTAATTTCTCTGTCTGCACATTCAGAGATACAGACACTGAGTCTGTGAGAAATAAATGTTCATGATCAGTGCAAGACTGACCTTCAGTTCCTGTGTACTTTGTTCTCAGCAGGGAATGCTGAGTGCTTTGTAAATACTGCACAACAGATAGGCAATGTAGAAACAACTCGAATGGGGAACATGGAACTTGCCAGGCTAGAGTTAGTTTAATAAATTTGAGGATAATTTTTGACAGAAAATGAATATGCTGCCTCAGAAGATTTCTTGATTTTACACCTGTAATATTAATAAGATCAAAGTGCATGTCTCAAATGTTGTCCATTTAATGGGTTGATATATTGATGACCTTTAGCAGGTTTCATAAAGCAATTAGAGGGATCTGATGGGGATTCACTACCTCAATTCCTTGTCTCCTGAAATCCAAGCCTAGTTTTAGGTCTTTAACATACCAGAAGCAGTATAGATCTGTAACTTCTATAACACTAGAGTAGAACAAACTACTGTTGTTTCTTAGATCTTCCAATAGCATTTTTTTTTTCTTTCAATACAGGTCTAGAATTTGCATATTCAGCTGCTCCCAAATCTATGCAGAGTGCTATTATGGGACTCTTTTTTTTCTTTTCGGGGATTGGATCATTTGTTGGCTCTGGATTGTTGGCACTGGTGTCTATTAAAGAAATTGGCTGGATGAGTAATCACACAGATTTTGGTAAGTTATTTTCAGTGTATTCATAGTCTATAAAGTAGAAGGCTCCCTTCAGAAGCAGTTAAGCATCAAGCATGTGGAACTGTTGAGTCTTAGCACAGTTATTATTTTAAAAATACAAATTTGTCTACTGTTTTGTCAAAGCCAAAGTTTCATTTTGCATATAAGTAGTAAGTAATGTGACTATGCCAAAAATGCATTGTCCTCATGAAAGCATGGGAAACACACATGTAGTATTTTGCCTGTGTAAGGCCTGTCAATTACCTGCTTAGCTGTTACTGCATTTCATCACTAGAAATTACTTAGAAATTTTTGTATTTTAGTAAAACATATTTAAATTATGTATGGAAGAAGAATATATTTGATATAAAGTACTGAAATTATTTTCTGCGGTTATAGGGAGTAAAATGTCCTCATGTCTCTCTTAGTGATTATTCAGCTTCCTAATTTCAAGAGACTTCACATCAAAATTACCATGAGTTAATTTTGTATTTCTGTCTGCTAGCTATTTATACTCTTTAAAAAGTCCAAGGTATCATCTGCTTTGTATTGCTAGTTGAAGTTAAAAATAATTATTGGCACCAGTAGGTGGCACCTTGGGAATTTCAGAAAATCATACCATCATCAATGGGCTAATTAGTTCCAACAGAAGGAGCATGAAAAGTTCTTGTATGCTAGACATACTGTGTGTATATACATGGCTTAAAAGTGCAGCCTAAACTTACTTTAAATTTGGTATGAGAGAATTTGCCATTTAAACTTGATTTGCATGCTACCAAAAAGTAACGTCTGGAACGGTACATGTGCCACAAGTTGTCATCTTTGCTTTACAAGTTGATATTTAAAAAAACTGCAAAAGATGACAAGTAGCCTTAACTTTATGGAAATGTCCTCACCAAATGAAAATTTAATCACATGGAGATTTTTTCCCCCAGTCAATGTCAAAATTAGCATCTTTTTCTGCAGTTCTGTATAGAGATAATTCAGTTGATAAGGGCTCAATAGGGGGACAGTAATTTCATACAAATTAATACATGTGATATTTGATGGTGCTTTTTTAGCCTCTTGCTTTTGTTTTCTGAAGCAGCCTAAGAGAAGGCAGTGCCTAATACTGTCTCTGTAAAATATTTAGTTTGTACTCAATATATCCAGAGTTGTCTAGAACTGGAAGATGTTACCTTTCATGACTCATTGGTCATCTGTTTTGAATAAACTGCTCAGCTCAGGGGATTGTCCTTTAGACAGCTGTCAGAACTGGATATTTCTAACTTTCTTAGTCCAAAGACTCTATATACAATTGAGCCTTCTCAGCAGCTACTCATCTAGCTCAAGGTTGACGCGCTCAGTGGGTGGTTTTGATTTGTAGCATCCACAGTAGCTGCTGGTTTAACTGTTCATATCAGTAACTGTTTATAACTCAATTTTCATTTTGTATAACATTACTGAAAGTTATCACATTCACATCTAAAATTTACTTAGGTCTTCCAGGGTAGGAATTATAAGGAGGAGTCTTTATGAATGAATGACTTCTGAATTTTTCATTAGATGCTGTTTTATAACTATAAGCACGTGCACAAAGTTTCTGCTATTTATGCTAACTCATGATATCATTTGAGGTAACTGACTGCTTCCAAAATCTACTGAGAGAGTTCACTCTCTACTGGCACTTCAGTGTTGGTTGCTGCCATTGAAATTACTGTTATTTCTCTGACAAAAACTGAGATTTCATGGTTTAATATCCCATCTCATAAAGGATAATTACTACTCTTTAAACGCGTCTGCTCTTGAAATGGAGATTCACATGTATATTGTATTTTAAATGTCAAGGAAAGACTCTGTTTAATTTTATTGCATTTTATTATAAGAAGTTCATTTAATTGAATCTTAAGTTTCAGTAATTAAAGTAGTTTAATCTGAACATTTATAGGCATGCTGCATGAACAGTTTGTTAGGATCGATGTATACCTCACTATTTTTACTCTCTAACCTTTTTGATAATCATAATGGTCCAATTGGCTGTGGCTCATGTGGCATGTTGGAAATGAGCCACAATATATTGTTCTTGGAAGTACAGGAATAGTTAGTGCACATTTCTTAATAGAGGAACAATGTTTTATCAATGAGCTTTCTTAATTTAACATTATCTAATGTGGTATGAATCATTAATGTATAACAACTTTGAGGGAGTGTCAAAGGTGAATGGAACCAAAAAGAAACCATGTATGGTTTCATGAATTGTAAACTTTGTTCCAAAGGAAGGCCAAGAGAAAATCTCAGTAATTGATTTCTTTGTATCTACAGAGTTGCCAGACTTTTTCCTTAATAGCTTTTTTAATTATTTATTTTATCTTTGACTTAGCAGAGAAGGGAGGTACAGGGCTCCAGATGCAGAAAGACCATGTAGCATTACTTACATTATGAAGAAAGTAAATCATATATGAAAATACATATTGAGGGTTTTTAGTTGTTTTATCTGAAGTCAGCAAAGCATTGCAATTTTGCAGCATAAGAATCCAGACTTTTTTTTGTTTTTTTTAAAAAAGAGGGGGGGAGAAAGGAAGATTATTAGCCTAGGAGCCTTTTAAAATTGTTTTGACTCTCATGAAGCATGCCCACTGCTATATATGTAGTCTTTGTTTGCACAAAGTTCATACAGTGGTAGGAGGAGCTTCCAGCAATTTTTTGTAAGAAAGAAATCATGCAGTAACAGCATATCAGCTTCTTCAGGGATATTACTTGGTTTAAGGCATTGCAGCTCAAAAGAAAGCAATCCTTGTACTGTGCGCATATTCGTCAGAAGTTCCATCTTTTGCTGTGGATAATTAGAAATCAAACTATGCTGTCAGATGGAAATGTGATTTGGTTTGGTTTTGCCTGTGTTTTGCAGAAAAGTCTTCACTACTTAAGCTTGAAGAGATTGACATTTTTATTTGTATAATCTTTATTAATGTTTTGGGTTTCTTTCTCCCCAATTCTTTCTAGGTAATATTAATGGCTGCCAATTAAACTATTATTTTTTTTTGCTGGCTGCTATCCAAGGAGCAACCCTCTTGCTTTTCCTTATTGTTTCTGTGAAATATGATCATCAAAAAGCAAAGATTAATGAAGTGGCTGCCAATGGGAGGATCTGATATCTGTTACAGAGCAGACTTTATTACAGCAGCACACAATGAAGTGGCAGTGCGCCGTGAGTCTGCGAGATCTTATGTTTTCTCCAGTAAGACTCTTACTAGACTTGCATGTTACAAGCGTTCTCGCCCCTGCCTCCTCTCGTGTAACGTAGGTAAGTGCCTTATGTTGGCAGGGCTGATTTCTTGCACTACGTCCTGGCGGAGGACAAACACAAATCTTGGAAGTGTATTAACTCTAGGCATTCAAGTTGCTCTTTGTTAATTGTGAGGTGTTTACTTAACTCTTGAAAGTTGGGACACTTACACTTGGAAATTAAGTATGACGAGTCACATGGATTCTTCCTGACTGAAAAACTCTGCTTAGTGAAGAACAGTGGATCTAGAGGAACGCCCAACAGTCTCAAGCCTACATTGAGGACACAGGAAAGAAAACATTTTACAGAAACCTCAAGTAGTGGTTACAAGAATAAATTTTCAATCCTGAGAGTCATTTTGGGGGGAGAAACAGGGACAAATTAAATTGCAGATTAGCTCAGATTAAAAAGAATGTAGTTTTATAATTGACCTTTCACTGGCAGTGTCTGAAGGATTTAAGTCCAAGCTGGCAGTCAAGAATATGCAATACTGGAGACTGAACTATACGTCACAGTAGTTTGTCATATAGCTGCTGCAGATTATGGTGAACAATGCACACATATTAGGACTGAAAAGGTTTTACTTCAGAAATGTTTTTATTTTTGAATCTGCATTAGGACAATATGGAAACATACATCTTTTGACAAAGCACTGTTCAGTCTAATGCTGTTACTTCCCTACATAATATTCTAAATATTTGCAGAAAGAAAACTGAGATTGAATTCTCAGCAGATAAAAGCGCAATAACAATTTAGAAGCCTTTCAGCTAGTTCCTTCAGTCTTGTGTCTTACTCCTAGCTAACATGCTACAGGGTTTGTATCTTTCAGCAACACATTCCTATAGCAGAGCAAATGGTTTTATGTTCAAGTCTCCTGAATTTTATTGATGCTAATCTTAATCTAATTTTAAGATTGTATGCACTGGTACGGAAGATGCAAGGAATTATGCAGAAAGAAGACTCAACTTTTTATTAATGTAAATTTTTATAGTTTCCTTTGTCTGCATTTATGTTGTTAAAATGTCCTTCTTTTGTACATGGACATCTTTTTAATGAGTTTACAAAATAAAAAGAACTTCCGTGCTGTGACTTTTGACCCTTTGTTTCTAGGTGAATAAAATTATACTATAAATATTTTGTTATTTAACCTTTATTTGCTAAATATACAGTGGAATACTATTAGATTTCAAAGTGTACACTGGCATCCTATTAGTTCTGTGAGATAACATAGCAGTATGCAAGCTGTCCTGTCTTTGCCAAGATAAATTAGTGTAGATGCTTCAGCTGCTGCATTACTTAGTATGATTTAAAATGGGAATAACTAAAGAGAAGTAGTAAGCAACATCTCATATGAGGAAAAGCTAGTTTCTTTTTCTAACTTTGTTTTAAAAGCTCCATGTATGCTATGGTTTTGGAATATCCCATTTGTAACCAGCTAAAAAAGCCTAATATTAAGATGGTATAAGCTGCATAAGGAACATACAGGGACCAAATAATTTTTCTTGCATGTATGCTGCTTCAGTCATGCACTTCTGATATGGGGATGAATCTGTAGTGTTTCGTCTTTATTTCATTAATTTCCAAAGCATATATATAAAATCACAGGAGACAGCTGGGCTGTGCTTACTAAGTTGTAGTATACTAGATTGATGAAGACTTCGCTTTTAGACGTCTTCTAGTCCTTCTGAAGGACTAGAACTATTCGCGGACCCTCCAAGAGGAGTGTTGCTTCTGGTGTCAGATGTCATCAGCTTTGGTGTCTTTGTACTTATCCCTTTTCTGGTAAGTAAGTGAATTTAATTGCATTTTCTTTTTTCCAAGAGCTAAAATTTTTCAACGACATTCACAAATTTCCCATCTGATACGAGTCTGCCGATGGTAGTTAAAACTGAGTTTAATGAAGAATGGAGAGTAATAAAGTAGATGTCTAACTGTGGTGGTCTGTGCAGGCAAGCTTTAGTGAAAACTTAAGGAAAAAAGAGAATCAATAAATACCAGGTTAGCCTATTCAGTATTTAGACAAATGTCTTTTACCCTGCTACAAGCATACAGTACGTGTCTGCATGTTTCTGTAGGGCTGCGGTGGTTCTAACACTCTGGAGATGAGACTGAACATGCAATCAGTTGTATAATTTAATTTTTATTTGGAATGACTTGGCTGAGCTCCAGGCACAAGTAATTATGACCATTTATGAAGATTAATCTGACACTTCTCATCAAAGGACTAAGGCCTTTTTGTGACTCAGAGGCTTAGCCGATTCCTCCTCCCTCTCTTATCTTTTAGTGTTTCCACTCCAGTCACAGAAATAAGACTAATCAATTAGCTTTGTGACTGAGCACTGCACCTCATTAATGAAATACCTTGAAGTGTACAGTTTGAATTTAGTTACATTCACTTCTTAGATTGTTACACTGCAATGGAAAGATCTGACAGGAGTCACCACAGTGGACGTATCTAAGCCTCTGACTTTCCAGGTATCTTAAATTCAAAGCACAACATTGAAAAGTAAGTACTTGTTCAACATGAGAGCAGGTAGCTGATTAAAGTTCATTACTTTTACTTATAAAGAATTATGAAAAGAACAAGCATGTACCTTATAATGCCTATGCAAGCTGTAATAGAATCATGTATGAAGAACAGCTACCTGGGACCCCGTGTTTCATTTGAGATGATAATGTGGGTGCATTGCTCACATGATTGTGAGTCTTTGAAGAGTACAGCAAGACCTGTTTGCTTGTGCCTTTGTATCTACAGCGTATACTGAATATCCCTCCTCAGAAAAGGTGTCCGTTTTGTGTTTATTCTGCTTATGTAAACCTCCAGAGCATTTAAGTACAGTAGTTGAGGCATCAGTCAGTATTTCCCATTAAAGTCTGTAGTCAATTCTGTGAGTTGTTTTTGTTTTGTTTGGGTGTTTTTAAACAAAAGTTGCTCAGGGCTGACACTTGTCAGACAATGTTTCAGCTTAACAATAAACCTATATTAAAAGATGCATGGAGTTCTTAATATTTTTTTGTGTGTGTTTGAAATTGCTTTTTGAAAAATGTTATCTTAGCGATTTTGTTTATATGCAGGGCAAGTTGTGTTACTGCAGACAAGCCCTCTGGGGAAAGAGATTACAATGCTTTCCATTTGAACAGTCAGTAGTTTGAGATGCAAATTCATTTCTGAGGAAGCAGAGAATTTGTAGACCAACACTCAATGCTGATGGTGGAATAATGCGCAGACCTGAGAACATGGTACCTGCTGGCCCCAGAGCAAGGCTGTAACTGCAGTGAAAGAATGGAGAAGAGAACTTGGGTCAGAAGCTATTAAACGATAAGTATGTAAATAGACACTTTGCTCCAGGTAGCACTAAGTTCAGAATATCAATGAGCGGTGCTTTCAGTTAAGATTGCCTAGTGACAGTTAATATAATCTGGCTGTTGGCTGTTTTTTCATGTCATGTACACAGTATGGTTTAATAGTCCTTGCCATCTTGGAATTAATTTTTCCATTACAGTATTCACAGCACAGATTTTGTTCTGTAAGTCAGTGGAAAGAATAGTTGTCAAAACCTAGTTACATAGTAATTGGATCCACTTAGAGTGGTTTTCAAATGAGCCTTACTACATGACTAGTAATCTCTAACCTACAGTCTGTTGGACTTAAAAGATCATAAAGAAGGATGAAAAACATTACACTTTTACAAGCACGGAATTGGGAATTAATTATAATCCATCCCACTAACTTCAGTCTGCCAGTGGCTGTGGTAATGCTTGAAAAAGGAGGTAAAATAACCAAGTGTATTGAGGAATGATCGGAACAGAAAGAACTAGGAAGTTTAAGTGGCTACTTTATACCCTGAAGGATGAAAGCTTACTTTTCTTTACATTCTTTGATTAATTCTGTACTCCCTTATATGTATTTTTTTGTTATCTTTCTTAAACATACTTCTTTTATCAGGACATTCTCCTACAGTGAATAAGTTCCAAATATGTACGTAACATTAATGGATGTCCTTTCGTGGAAGGAATGGCTGTTCCTACCTGCGCTGTGGCTGCATTTTCTGCAGACAGTCCTGAGCTAGCTCGCTACAGCCTGGGAGATCTCCAGCACAGGTTGGTATGGGCAATCCTTGGCTGGCTCCGCTGCTTCGGAGCAGGGGACAGCACCTCATCAGCATCCACCCAGCAGTCTTAGATCTAGTCTACAGAAACTGTAGGCACACTGAGAGATACTCCAGTACTGTGTTCCTCCTTTGGTGCACAGCTACCATACAGTATGTTACTGATAAGACTTCTCATCCCCCTTACTAGGAAGTGTTAGTCCAACAAAGTCCATAAATCACATTTGACAGGGAATAGAACACATTAATGAACAAGGTAAATATTGCTTAGGCTTTTGAAGGTGGAACTTCAAACAGATAACATGCTTTCTGAAAGCTGTGAAATATTCTTGACCGTCTCTGCACATCTAATGCTGTACATCACAATCTCTTCCTATCTACCCCATCACCTTTTCAAGAGTATTCTCTGGCTCTGAACTCCCAGGAAACCCTAAGGTCTTGAATTGTTCTGTCTGCTGTAGCTATGGAAACTGGTTAATACTGTGTATCAACACAAAATTACTATAGCATATTTAAGTAATAATAACTATTAACTTGATTTTAATGACAAATGGCTTTACTGTCAGGCAAGATGCTATAAACTACTAGTCTGCAAACTAAACATCTGTGAAGAGCAGCATTCTGCTCAGAGTTAGGATGAAGGGGCTTGAGGGCGAAGATCCTAAGGGCTGATGTATAGCTCCAAGTTTTAGGCAGATTGCTGTGCAGAAGCTGCAATAATTAAAATGTGGGGAAGGGTTCCCATTAATTCTGCAGAAATTTAGAACTTTGACAAAGTGATCCAGAATTAAAGCACAACTTCCTAATGGGAAGTTAATATCCTGCACAGGAAAATCTGAATTAAGTTCCTAGAGTGAAATAGTTAAGATGCCATGTTGGCAGACTTTGAAGTGAGTTTTCATCCTGCTTGTAGCTAGGTGGAAGATAACGCAACTGCGGTAATTCTGGAACGAAGGAACATGAGCGAAATCCTAGTGATGCCTGTGAAGTACAGCTTTACATTTAAATTCTTGTTCTCTCCTTTGAAAGATGTCCCAAGCATTCGATAAACCCTGTCCCCTCAATTCCTGA